CTTGCCAGGCCAGTTTTTCTTTTGGCCTTGGGGTTTTGCATCTCTAGTTGCGCGCTGCTTGTAGGGATGAAAAAAAACCTCCTTCCTGTTTGCCTGTTGGGGATAGGAAATCCCTTTTTCTTATTGGCCGCTCTTTTGAGCACCAGGGTATATTTGGAGCCAAAAGAGGAGTGTCCCCTCAAAGGGCAGGCCGCACAATCTGGAATTGGATGCGTGTCCCCCTGCCACGACTTTAGCCAAACTTCCCTTCTTGCTGAATTAATAAGGCCGGTAGACCTGGCCGTATATTTAAATAGTCTCAGCCGATGCATCTGCTATGTAAGCTACTGCCTTTACCAAATCACTTCCGGTGCTGTAGATCTCCTCCGCTGGTGTGCCTTGTTCTAGGTGGGACTGAAGCTGGCCTAGCCACATGTCCAGTGTGCGTGCAACGCAGGTGGTTTCCATCGCCGGTTTAAAATTTAACATGGATGCTTCACAAGCTCTCCTGAGGAAAGTATCGGCTCTCCATCGGGTCCTTTAGTGATCCTCCGTTTTCAAATGACAGGCCCGTGTTTCTGAAGACTTTCTCAAGGGAGCGTCCAGTTTTGGGCAAGCTTCCCAGATTGAGGTATCCTCCTCAAAAGGAAATATCCTTCAAATTTTTGGTAAAGAATGCTTTTCTTTCTGGTACTTCCCAATCTCTTTTAATGGGTGTCCCATAAGGTGGCATGAACTGGAAATGTGCAACCTCCCATCTTCTGGAGTTCTGCGTACAGCTGGTCATGCAATGAGAGATCTTGCGGTTCTTCTTTTAGATCTAGAGTGTCAGATTACTTTTAGAAGGCTTTGAATCTTTGAGCCCTGTGATCCGGTTCCCGATTTCTCCCTTTTCCAACTCCACGGAGCTGTAATATTCTTCGTCTGGGTCCACGGGTATGGGGTCTGGTCTTTTCTTTTTGGCTTGTGCGTAGCCTCCAGACGTGCCTGGCTGTGGTTGTCTGGCACGGGCTCGTGCATTTGCTTCCTGAAGTTTCCTGTATTCTATTTGTCATAGAATACAGGGAATCTTTAAATAGGGACCCAGATTCTTTTTTAAGAAGCTTGTCGATGCACTCCTGGCAAAGTTGCTTTCTCTATGAGCTTGACAGTTTCTTCTTGCAGGTTGCACAATTTTGTTTTTTTTTTCACCTCCGCTGGGCCTGCTTTCTCCTCCTTTCTTCCTCCAGAGAGGCCGCCTTACAGGAGAAATAAAGGCATAGAATCCCCTAGTAAACCGGGTTACTCTTGCATTTGCCACCTAGGAGTGCCATGTTAAAAAGAAAAAAGAACCCCCGGAAGGTGAGACTACTGCAGTGTGAAACGAGGAGAAAAAACAAGCATGCTGTAACAGCATAAGAGCATTTAGTCAGCCGTATGGCTCCTACCTTGGTGCTGGCCTCCCCCTGCTCTGACAGATCTGTCTCCATTGCAGTTCACTGCCGCCCTCAGCGGCGACTTTTCATGTGGGGTAGTGGGGCCCCACCCTCTCCCCTGGTCCAGTGGAGCTGACCTCCCCTCACAGCTGCCGTGGATGTTGAGCAGCTGTGGCATGGGCTGGTGTCCGGTCCGCCTCTTCCTATCTGGTGGTGAACGCTTCCTTGTTGCCGGAGCCCATGCATGCCCGGAAGTGACATGTAGGCCGGCAACACGTGCTCCGTAGTGATACCACTGCCATGATGGTGCCGACCGGCAAGCTGGCATCCAGCTCCAGCCAAGGTAAGAAGCACCCACAGGGTTGAGGCCCCCCCGGCCCCCAAAGGTTCAGTGTGCAGGCCACCAACACCCCTGGTGTGCCTGCCTGGAGCTATACAAGAGAAGGGTGCCCCCCCTAGTCTTGCCACAAAAGGGAATTCCTAGGGATTTACCTGGATGCAGTCTGCCCGCAAGGTCCCTACCTTCCCTGGTAGGTGGGCACCCACTCCAGGAGGCCCCTGTACCCCACCAGACTTGAAAAAAAAAACACTGAAACTGAGGACCCAGGAATGGAGAAGATACTTATAGTGGAAAGAGTGGATCAGGTGTTTCCTGACGGGAAGAGGAACCCAACTCTCTCTCTTGTAAGATGTCCTGGAAGATGACTTGGGAAAAATGGTCTGGTTAGGAAGAAAACCTTCAGAGGCTGAAGTGGATATAGAACGGTTGATTATATGTATCATTAAACATAATTAAATAAATTAAAAATGATACATTTCCTGTCAAGAAAAGGAAAGAGGATCCAAGAACGGACCTGCATTGAGGGCAGACTGCTTCTAATGCCTAAGTCTACATTTTGCAAAAATATAATGTGCATTTATTATTTTTCACAAATAAGCCTGCAAAGCATTGTAACTGCTCAGAGGTTCCCAGGTGCAATGCACAAGTCTCTTCCTCTTTCTACCAAGGTACGAACTTGTATGAACTTTTAGAGACCCAGAAGATGTGTCAATGGACTACAAGCATGGTAATCACTGCACTTGTGTTCCATTAATAGCAACATGTCCATCTACTGCAATGACAGATTGACTTATAGTTTATACATTCACTGTGAATGAATGGTGTTCAGGAAGGTACACACACACACAAACTTCCTCTGCACCAGTCACCCAGGAGAAGAAACCCCACATGTGATCATAGGGGAGGTTGGTTTGGCACCATGTTACACCCATATTTACCCATCAACGCTAAAAATGTCAAGTGGTCCCTTCCTGAACTGCAATTTTTTTTAATATTTGTGCAATGGTGTATCGAGCAAATTTTCAGTAAAAATACAAAAAAAAAAAAAAAAAAAAAAAATCCAGGATAGCTTTAATGAGACAGACCCGATATCTTGTCTGCCCTCTACTGAAGCTAACAGAACACAGATCATGCTCCGTTAGCTTCTTCCCTGACCACAGAACCTAGGAAAAATGACACCTGGAATCAGAAGATCCTGGGATCTTTTTTAGCTAGGGAAAATCAGCAAATAGAAGTTCCTCTCCACTTGGTGACACCTGTCATGTGGGTACACTGATCATAGCATGCTGCACACCTTCTCCATTCAGAGAAAGCCTTGTATTAATTTTCACTGAATGCAAGGCTTTTTTGTGATTGGAGGAGGGGTGGATGGACTTCATAATCTGCTCTCCTATAATCATAGAAAGTTTACAGTTAGAAGAATGAAAACAAGGTCTTGCCTGCATGAAGGTGGTGTACAAGTGACCTACTATAATCAGTGTACTACCACAGAATGAAAAGTCTTGGCAAAGGCTGCTTGGTGCTCACAGTACTTTGGAGGCTAAACATAAAATTCAATAAAAATACAGGCAATGACAACATCTACATAGAACAAGCAAAAACACACCACAACAAAATGAAACTGTCTATTCACCTAAAAGTTAAACCTTCAGAGTCTGAGACCAGTGGCTCTGGATCCTGGAAAGGACACCTGCAGTGCATAACACTAACTTGGTGATCTGCCATGACACTCAATGCAGACCCCATGTACTTGAAGCACTGTTCATGAATATTGGTGAGGTGAGATGCAGGAGCTACACAGTAAAATATCCAATTTTCAAACAACCAGGAAGTAACTTTGTGGCTGATTGGAGAGACTTCCTGGATTTCAAATACCTAGGCTTTTTTTGTAAAGTATTGTATAAACACTTGTCTCTATACAAACCATGAAAACCATGATATTAAAGCGGAACTAAACCCATCAATTTAATAGTTTAAAAAAAAATCCACAAAACCTTGTAACCACTTACTGTATAGCGCTGCTCAGGGTACTCTGCTGGTAGAGAATCAGGTGTCTCACAGCAATGTAAGGAAGGGTGCAGGCTGTCTTGTGTTTGCGCCAGAAAGCAGTGAAGCATGAGGGGATGAGAGACACCACACACCGGGAATGCCAATTGTCACATTTACTTGTTCTCTCAACCAAACTAGCAAACAATCAAATGGCTGGGTTCCTAATTGATCACACGTGAAGCATCATGGCAGTTGAAGTCGCAGACTCTAAGATGGTAGCTTCCTGGACTGAAAAAGGATAGGAGGCTTAGTTCCGCTTTAATAATAATGAAACTACCAGAAGCTGATTCACTGAAGAAATTCCACTTCATTCAGCAAAGCTGGACACCAAGCTAAACTGAGGCTTGACAGAAGAGTTGGGATTATAACCACTAGGAGGGAGGCCACTTTTTAGGTTTCAAATTAGCGTATGAAAACTCCTGTAGATAGCAGCATAACCACAGGTTACAGAATTTGCAGAGCGAGTCACTTACTGAACAATTGAGAAACACTATTTATCAAAACAAATCAAACAAAAAATGTAATTAAAAGTGGTTGTAAACCTTTACATATACCCAGTGAAGAGTGGTCTCCGGTGATCGCAAAGATGAAACAAATCCTCCTACATAAATTGTACCTGATTACCTGCAGCCATCTGTCCCCCACATCCAAAGTGCTGAATTTACACAGGATCTGTAAGCTTTGAAAAGCAGGGGCGGGGAACTGAAGTTATATCAGTAAGAAGAGCTCTGAGCGCCCATTGGAGGAAAAGGACATGGCTCCCTTCACACAGTACCCTGTCGCCATTTTTCTCTTGGTGTCAGGAAAATTTATCAAAAGTGACTCATGCTTATTGCAAAAGAACAAGGCAGTGGGCAGAAATGACACTTAGTGCTCTGGACCGAGACTAGTACACACTAAGACTGCATTCACACTTGAGCGTTTTGTAGCTTGAAGCTCGAAGCTCCAAAAAAGCTCAAACTTAAACTAAAAAGGAAACCAAAAAAACAAAAAACAAACAAACAAAAAACACTTGATCACGCGAACAGGCAACATAGAGAACAATTGATTTTTTAAGTTTGAGCTTTTTTTTGGAGCTTCAAAACGCTCAAATGAGAATGCAGCTTAAAGAGTGACACGATTTGCTTATATTTCATGTTTGAGGTTTACAACCACTTTAACAAGAAAAAAAAGTTAATACATTTTAGAAAAAGGAACGATTGGTTTCTAAAACTTACTCTGAAAAGCAAATCTTTTGGCTTGTGTGTAAAACATCAGATAGATGCCTGAAAAAGGAGCATCTCTGAGCAGTGTGGCAGTAAGACCACTATACAGGCCGCGAGCACCTTCAGTCCTGTATATGCTCCCCATGGCACCAAATACACTTTTATAGCTGTAGTTACCACTCTGAAAGACAGTAAAGAGAAACTATTTTAGCATTTTGAAAGTAACAAATTCAAACTGCAACTGGATATTAATACCAGAGCAACAAAACAGGTAATGGTATATGTAGCCCCTTAACTAATAAAATCTTACCTAATTATATATATATATATATATCTATATATATCTATCTATATCATAGTCAATATCTCTTATCATCTAATCATAGCAAGATTAAGCAGATTTTCTGGTAACTACTTTTCCCAGGAACCCTCCAGCTTGGCAACTGGAAATAAGGGAGTTCTATGCCAATATTGATTCATTGCAGTCTTGGAGGGCTCCTTGAGAGTTATTTTCCAAGACTGATTCACTAGAGGGTTGATTTTCTAAAAGGGAAATATACTGTGCACTGCAAGAGTCTTGCTCCTGAACGTAGTAAATGAGGTAAAGTTTGACTTTGCAAAGAATACCCAATCACATGCAAGGAAAATAAAAAAAACTGCATGTTTGCTTGCACATGATCGGATGATAAAAATCAGCAGAGCTTACTCTCATTTCAGAGCTTCCCCTCAGATCTACAGCACCTGCACTTGCAGTGCACAGACTATTTGCCTTTAGTAAAATCAACCCCTATGTCTCTATCATCTACAAAAAAAGCAAAAAATAAGTTACACCCACTTGCTGAAACTTTGCAGTCAAACGTACAAAACTTGTGGTGCCTAAAGAGGTTCACAGCATTGGACAGCAAAAGGCTGGTGTTTGGGTTAATGATGAGCCACCTCATAGTCCATTCACAAGCCTTGCAGCTTGTAAACACCCAACCCGTATGAAGGTGCAAGCTGAAAGTTGCAGGGCTTGTCTGAAGGAGTGTGGCATTGCACCCCGATCCACTGATCACAGGTGCAATGCTTTTCAGGCTCCTTAGGGAAAAAATATTAAATGCACATTTTTTTTCCTGCAAAAAATAAGTACATTTATTATTTTTTCCCAAAAAAGTGAACTTATCCTTCAACTATAGAGGCTGACCAATCAGTAGGTGATCTGACATGAATAATACATTTTTAGCATATTATTGACTAGACACAAGTTAAAAGATGAAGGTCTTACAAGTCCCATACTTACAGTTGTGTTCAAAATAATAGTGTGTTGAAAAAAATGAATAAAGCTCAAAATCCTTCTAATAGCTTTTATTTCCATACACACAAATGCATTGGGAACACTACACATTCTATTCCAAATCAAAACATGAAGAAAAATATCAAATGTGTTGTTCCTCTAAAAAAATTGAAGAAAAGTGAATATTAGACTGTTCAAAAAAATAGCAGTGTTTGTATTCTTCTTTACAAACTCAAAACATTCACTATATAAACTGAAAAATGTTTGAAGATTTTGCTTTCCTTTGAATCACTTAATATTTAGTTGTATAAGCACTGTTTCTGAGAACTGCTGTACATCTGTGTTGCATGGAGTCAACCAACTTCTGGCCCCTGTGAACAGGTATTCCGGCCCAGGATGATTGGACTACATTCCACAGTTCTTCTCTATTTCTTGGTTTTGCCTCAGAAACTGCATTTTTGATGTCCCCCCGCAAGTTTTCTATTGGATTAAGATCCGGGGATTGGGCTGGCCACTCCATAACGTCAATCTTGTTGGTCTGGAACCAAGATGATATACCGTATTTTTCGGACCATAAGACGCACTTTTTCTTCACCAAAAAGTGGGAGGAAAAGTACCTGCGTCTTATGGTGCGAATAGAAGAAGTTGCAGAGCGGCAGCGGGTCCCCCGGGACCTTCCGTGTCCAGGCTTTCTGGGGACTGCATCATCCCTCCCCCGCCCCGTGTCCAGGCTTCTCAGGGAGTGTTATTAGCAGAGCGGCAGCGGATCCCCCCTCACCTTACCTTGTCCTCGGGAAGCCGATCTGTGCAGGAGGCGCGATGCTGCTGCTGTGTCACCGCCGTATGCTATTGGAGGATAGCATGTAGTAGGCGGTGTTACAGTACACAGCAGTGCGCATGCCCCTCACTCCAGTCATCGGCTTCTGAGGTAAAATGTCGGTACACACTACACCACATTTTCCCAATAAACTGTTCCCAATAAAAAAAAAAACTGTTTTCCCTCTGTCCCTTTTTCCCTTTCAATTTCACTCTTTCTTTTAATTGTCACTCTTTCTTTTAATTGTCACTCTTTTTCTTTCAATTGTCACATTTGTGATCTGAAGTACCGTACCATATACGGTACTTCAGATATACGGTACCATAAACCATACTCCCATATATGGTACCATAAACCTGTATGAAAAATACCGTATACAGTATGCAGTGACAAAGCAAATGGTCAAAGCAACGCACATGGTCAGTGGTCAGTGACAATGCAAATGGTGATTGCTCAGTGAAAACGCAAATGGTTAGTGTTCAATAGTAATCATTGAAGAAATTATGGTATACTGAAAGTTCCTTCATTTCTTGCAGAAAAATATTGTACCGTACTACTGTACCTCATTCTACAAAGATGCTGAAGCAGAAAAGAATAGCCTATAAAATTCCATACAAACTGGAGGTTATCAAATATGCTAAAAGCATGGAAACAGAGCAGCGGAGAGGCATTTTGGGCAGCCTCCAACTTAAAAACTGATTAGAGAGTGGAGGAAACAGGAGGATTGGCTGCAAAAAGACAAAAGCAAGCACACTTTCCGTGGGCATGCTGCAAAGTGGCCAGAGTTGGAGGTGGACGTGAAAGAATGGATCATGCTTCATCGCAATAATGGCTTCTCCGTCTCAACAAAAATGATCATTTTTGAAGCGAAACACATTGCTAAAGAGAGGGGCATTCAAGACTTTACAGGATCACCATCATGGTGCTACAGATTCATGAGAAGATGTGGTCTTGCTATGCGTACCAAAACCAGAATTGCCCAAAAAATGCCCAAAGAATATGAGGCTAAAATTCTGTCCTTTCACAATTTTGTTATCAAAGCCAGAAAGAAAAACAGCTTTGAAATTGGCCAGATTAGGAACATGGATGAAGTTCCGCTAACATCTGATGTGCCTTCTAATAGGACTGTCGACCTGAAGGGTGCCAAAACCATCACAGTGAAAACTTCAGGGCATGAGAAGACGCATTATACAGCTGTGTTGTCCTGCTGTGCCGATTTTTAAAAAAAAGGAAAACATTTCCAAAAGATGCCATTCCAAGAGGTGTTGTGGTACACGTCCATGAAAAAGGATGGATGAATGACAATGGCATGAAAATATGGGTTGAAAAGGTGTGGTCCAAACGTTCTGGAGGATTTCTGACAAAAACCTGCCCTATTAGTGCTTGACCAATTTAGAGCACATATTAGTGAACCAACCAAAAAGTGCTTCAAGGAAGTAAAGACCCATCTAGCTGTCATTCCCGGAGGTCTTACCAGCCAGTTGCAACCTCTTGATGTCTCCATAAACAAGCCATTTAAGGTCTTTATGAGAGAAGAGTGGAACAAGTGGATGGCTGATGGTAACCATGATTTGACACCCACTGGAAGAATGAAGAGGCCCACCATCACTCAAGTTTGCGAATGGGTGAAAAGATCATGGGACTCAGTGAAGGAAGAGATTGTTGTACAGTCGTTCAAAAAATGTGGCATTAGCAATGCCTTAGATGGAAGTGAAGACTGTATTTTATACGAAGACAGCGAAGAAAGTGATGTCAGTGATTGTGACCAAATGAGCTTCATGAATTCTGACTCTAGCGAAGAAGAGTTCTTGGGGTTTTCAGAAGACTAGAGTACTCAAACCTTTGTCTTTATGTGTTTATGACAGTGATAATGGTTCTTAATGCCACTGTTGACTGCTGTTCAGTTTATATGGTTCAAATATTATTCTGTTATACTTTATTAAATATTTTATTACACTATTTGGTTCAGAATATTTCTTTTCCTATTTTTCTCCTCTAAAAACCAGGTGCGTCTTATGGTCAGGTGCGTCTTATGGTGCGAAAAATACGGTATATGTTTACTGGTGTGTTTGGGGTGGTTGTCTTGTTGGAACACCCATTTCAAGGGCATTTCCTCTTCAGCATAAGGCAGCATGACCTCTTCAAGTATTCTGATGTATTCACACTGATCCATGATCCCTGGTATGCAATAAATAGGCCCAACACCGTAGTATGAGAAACATCCCCATATCATGTGGCTTGCGCAACCATGCTTCACTGTCTTCACAGTGTACTGTGGCTTGAATTCAGTGTTTGGGGGGTCGTCTGACAAACTGTCTCTGGCCACTAGACCCAAAAAGAACAATCTTACTTTCATCAGTCCACAAAATGTTGCGCCATTTCTCTTTAGGCCAGTCAATGTGCTCTTTGGCAAATTGTAACCTCTTCAGCACGTCTTTTTTTCAACAGTGGGACTTTGCGGGGGCTTCTTGCAGATAGCTTGGCTTCACATAGGCGTCTTCTAATTGTAACAGTACTCACAGGTAACTTTACACCTTCTTTGCCAATTTGGCTATTCTTTATATCCATTCGAATGGTAGTTTTACGCTTTCTTCCACGTTTTTCAGGGTTTGGTTGCCATTTTAAAGCATTTTAGCTGAGCAGCCTATCATGTTTTGCACTTCTTTATATGTTTTCCCCTCTCCAATTAACTTTTTAATCAAGGTACGCTGTTCTTCTGAACAATGTCTGGAATGACCCATTTTCCTCAGAATTTCAGAGAAAAATGCACTGTAACCAGCATGTACATTTGCTGCCTTCCTTCCTTAAATAAGGGCAATAATTGCCACCTGTTTTTCAAAGAATGAATGACCTCACTAATAGAACTCCACACTGCTATTATTTTGAACATGCCCCTTTCAATTAGTGATTCAATTACACAGAATCAGCATGTCATGACTGTTGGGTCTGTTGTATTTCTATTACTCTACTACACCTGCTAGTAAATTATTTACCATGTAGAAATATAATTTCTACCAAAAACAGTGATTGATCAGGTTAGTGATGTCTGACTGCTATTATTTTGAACACAACTGTATGTAGCAGAAAATCA